TATTGAAAAATATAAAAACAATAAAAAATTATACTTCAGAAGTTAATTTAGTATCAAAAACGTAAAATATTTGAGTAACCCAAGACATAGCCAAAGATTGCAACGCCACAGCACTGGCGAAAATTTAAATTTGCCAACTGGAATTCTTTCGGATAATTGACTTTCGGATAATCCACGCTCTACTGTATCTGTACGTGAACATGTATTTGTCATCTACTTAGCCTAATATTTCAGAATGAATTGAACATTAAGAAACTAAATTTAATAGTGTTCATTGTCTATAAAGGATATTAATGCTATTAAATTTTGGCAATAAAACATCCAGGGGTGAAGAGATAGAAGATGGTCACGTGTAAAATCTTGAGTGGGATCAGACTTCATTAAAATTGTAGTTGTTGTTAGCATAGTTTGTGAAATGCATTTCTACCATTATAATTAGCTATTTCTTCATTTTATAATAAGTAAAATTATAAAAAGTTTTTATAACACATGGCGCCAATGACAATTTTATTTATTTATTATAATTAATAATATAGATGTTATTTTTTAAATAAAATCTCTTAACAGCCAGGAAACTTTCATAATTCGTTACTAGATTTTTTCTTATATAATACATATTTTTTTTATTTAATACAAAATACACCTAAAATCAAAGCATAACATTCATTACTGATAATGACATACATTTTCAACCATTCAGAAACCTAAGTTAATATTAAAGTTTCACTGTAAAATATTTCGAAATTTCTATTACTTACCAATACGTTTCCATCATCATCTGGGAGATGAAAAACTTCTTTATAATCTTCAGTCTTTACTTCAATCTTCAATTTTTTCAAATCAACTTTACATTCTGATTTTATACCATGTTTTACATCACGATTTTCTTTTATTTCTTCTTTCTTAATATCTGTAGTGGAATTTACAAACTTTTGTGTTAAAGGATTCTAAGAAAAACTTGAAATATAAAATAAAACTAAACATATTTTCATTAATTAACATAACAATATTAACTTACATCTTTCACTACATCATTTATTTTTGATTACAAGCCGAAAAGTAGCTTTGAGTCACGGCAAATTGCTGTGATGTGAGATACAAATTATAATAAGTACGATTAAAAACTTGTTTTCGTTATTAAATAGACCAGCAACGAGTGCTTAACTTTTCCGGAAACATTAAATACTACGTGTGGCGCCATCTCTTATGATATTTTGTTTAAAAAATGTTTATATTTTTAACGATTATAAAATTAAAAAATTACTTAATTTTGAGGATAAAGATGTGTTTTATAAAAATCGTATATTAGAAAATGAATAAACTCATCATTATCTATGACCCAACTGAAGATACTCACGACCCGCATTATCTCTTTAAGCCCCCCGACCTTCACTTACAAAAACTTAAAAGAATCAATCCCATTAATAAACAAACCTTCCTTCTAAATTTAAGAAATTTTCGACAAGAAGCACAGTAATTATTAAACTTTAAAAAGGTTGAAGAAAATCATCGTCCACCTCCACACACACTGACATTTATGCATACAAAAAATCCTCGAAATTTTTTAATTTCTCGTCGTTTTAAGTTGTCTTAAGTTTAATTAATTAAAAATGTAAAAATGTTCGATACGATTATTTTCTGACAAACTTCCCTTCTGTTATAGGCCTATATAAAAGCCGAAAAAGTAGAACTTAGTTAGTGTTAAATAATCCCGGATATAAAAGTTTTCAATTAGAAATTTACAATCATTTTCAATTTATTCTCATAGTTGTAACATATTACAATAAAGTTATGTTAATTAAATTTCAATATTCCGGTGTTTTTCCATTTTAGACGTTCTGACCATCCATTAGCAAAACAGTATAAAATATGTCGACAAATAGAATTTTGTAATTCTATTTTGTTTGAAAATTTAGATGTATGTACAGTACATGCACTGCACAATGCGTTAGGTATCTGCGTCACTCCCTCACACTTCGTTTCAAATATAATACATAAATGTATATGCAATAAAAAGCTGAATTTTAGAAGTACAGATGAGTTTTATTCATAGATACATAAAATTAGTACTTTGAAAACATAGAACCTGTGAGAAGTAACAATACATCCGAGTCTGAGCACCCATTAATGGAGAACCCGTATTTTCAGAATATCATAGATATATATTGATAAAAACAATAAAATAAATACCAGCAGACTTCTTCGGCATTTATTTAAAAAAAATTCGAATTTATTCATATAATTGGGCTGTAATCTGAAAAAAATTAAAGACCTATAAATTCTCACTGTCGTCTGTGTGTCAGTCCTTTCTTAATCTCGAGAACCACGAAGATGAAAGACAAGACTAGGTAATATAGAGAGAGTAGGAACAGGAGACCACGATTAACTGTGTACAAACGTTTACAGAAGATCGACAGTCATGTTATTTCAATTAAAATCTTTTCTCCTGAAAACAGTTAATTAAAGACCGGCAGAACTGAATTGTTATATGAAAAGTATAATGCACAGAGGCGGGGAGCATGTAAGTGCTGTATCTTCGTTATTAACTTATTTCATTTTTATATGCTAGGTGTAATTCATTAAATTTTTAAAATAATTATTCGAGAGATTCGTGTGACTTTTGTGTTGAGAAAGAAATTGTGGATGCCTGGCATATTTTGGCTAAATGTAAGCGTCTTAAAGCGCTACGTGAAAAAATTTTTTGTTGTGAAGTCCTTACCAGGTCTTTATTTCTTAAAATTTTATCGGTACCTTGTTATCAAGTTAAAATGTTTTGTTTTCTAAGAAAATCTGTTAATCTTTTGTTTTAGGGGGCGTGATTTCTCTACTATAAATTTAGCCTTGTTGCTGGTGTTGTTTGGGAGCATCTGTCAGTGCTGTATCTTCGTTATTAACTTATTTCTTTCTTATAGGTAAGCAATTTGCTTATTTTTGGTTTTTATTTTATTTATTAGTTTTTTGTATTTTATTGACAGATGCTCCCAAACTTTAACTAATTATTATATTTGATTTTTTAATATTTAATTTGTATCTAAATTGTTATGTATTTAATTTATTATTGTATAATCTGTTTGTGATCTTATGATCATTGTATTTGTGTTTTTGTTCTTTGGGAGATGGTTTTGCTCCCCGCATCAAGGAGTGTATCCAGTATGCGTAATAAATAAATAAAAANTGCCCTCTTTATTATATGCTTCAGAGATTTGGGGTTTTAACATGACCAATGGTGATGGTATACAGATTGAATTCATTAAAAACTTATTTTATTTACCACGTTGTACACCAGGTTATTTAATTATGATGGAATGTGCCTTGACTCCTATAAAATTTATAATATTTAGTAGGATAAGAAATTGGATTACTAGAATTTTTAATCTTGATGACTATCGTCTGAGTAAGGTTTGCTTGAAATTTATACTTGGTAAAAAGTCTATTGACTGGACACGTTATTTTATTGATACTTGTAATAATCATGGTATTAATCTTATTAATGATGATTTGAATTTAATGGACTGGTCTCTTCTCCTTGTTAACATTTTTGATAATTTTTTATATAATATTAATGAAAAAATAAATAATAGCGTATATAATTGTTGGTATAAGGATTTAAATGTTACTTTTTTTGATAATTCTTTATATAATCAAGACGTTTCCCTTAATATTTTGTCTTTATTTATACAGGCTAGGTGTAATTCACTAAATTTTTTAAATAATTATTCGAGAGAATCATGTGACTTTTGTGTTGAGAAAGAAATTGTGGATGCTTGGCATATTTTGGCTAAATGTAAGCGTCTTAAAGTGTTACGAGCAGAAATTTTCGGTTGTGAAGTTCTTACCAGGTCTTTATTTTTTAAAATTATATCGGTACCATGTTATCAATTTAAAGTGTTCTGTTTTCTAAGAAAATCTGTTGATCTTTTGTTTTAGGGGGCGTGATTTCTCTGCTATAAATTTAGCCTTGTTGCTGGTGTTGTTTGGGAGCATCTGTCACTGCTGTATCTTCGTTATTAACTTATTTCTTTCTTATAGGTAAGCAATTTGCTTATTTTTGGTTTTTATTTTATTTATTAGTTTTTTGTATTTTATTGACAGATGCTCCCAAACTTTAACTAATTATTATATTTGATTTTTTAATATTTAATTTGTATCTAAATTGTTATGTATTTAATTTATTATTGTATAATCTGTTTGTGATCTTATGATCATTGTATTTGTGTTTTTGTTCTTTGGGAGTTGGTTTTGCTCCCCGCATCAAGGAGTGTATCCAGTATGCGTAATAAATAATAAAAATAATAATAATGCACAGAGGCAAGCCACTACTAATTTGAGACAAAGAGCATATATTTTAAATTATATACATTAAAAATATGATTAAAATTGCAGCCCGACATTGTGACGATGTCATAATAAATAATTGCTCGTTTCATTGAAATCTAAAACATCTAAATTGGACTTTTCTCTGTTGTAAGATTCTGATCAACTGAATTAACAATTTTAAATCTCTCAACTAAATTAAATGTACATAATTGATAATACTAAATTCTATTTTATTCCTTATCCATTATACACGACGTATTCGCAACGATTTTCAAATGTTATCATTTCCATTTATATGAATATGAATTTATGTATTACGAATTATTCTTATCACTACAAAAACTTTCATAGTATTAAAAGCATTAAGCCTCTTACCTTTTTCGATTTTATAATCAGAATGAGTCCAAATAGTGGATCCGTTTGTGTTTTTAGTAGAAATTGGTTCTCTTTTAATATTTAACTGAAATAATAAAATATTACGTAATATTATTAGATAGATTCATCTTTATAGAAAAACACATAAATAATTATTTAAAGTAGAGCATAAAAATACGTTTACTAAATATATATTTTTTTTAAATGGCCTACTTTCTACTTTTCTTTTTATAGCAGTTCCTATCATCTATTTAACACCTTTCAGAGAAAAATTTTGAATTCCAAATGTGAATTGAGGTTTTCAGCAGATATACGTATACAATTTATCGGTACCTCTTGACCAATTAAATGAATCTGATAATATATGGATATATAAATTATAGTTTATTAAGAATTGAGGTGCAATTTCAAAAGACTTATAAATACCCACTTTCCTTAGTCTGTACGACTGTTTGACAGTTTTTTCTTAATGTCGACAACAGAGTTAGATAGCTAAAAGCCGAAACCACATGTGCTTAGAGGCACTATGTCGGTAATTCTAGTAGTATACAAAAACTTCCGATGCAAATCGGAAGTAAAATTATTTCAATTCAGAAAGTTTCCTCTGAAAGAAGTTAGATACGTAAACGTCACGACTCTTATAAATAGGATAAGTATAACGTACAAAAGAAGCCACTAGTAATTTCAGGTGAAGGGCATATATTTTAAATTAAATAAAAGAATAACATAATGAAAAATTCCAGCCCGGCATTGTGAGGATGTCACAATAAATATCTTCTTGTTGATTGTCTTTTTTCTTTTTTTTTTGAATTTCTCTTACTTTGTGTCTTGTAATGCATGTAACAACCGAAAGTATAAAAATCATGTCACATTTGACCGTCAGCTTTCGGAATCCTCCAAGTTTTAAGACTTCCTTAACCCGAAAAAATGTTTAAAAATATAAAGATTTTACTTATTATTACATATTAAAATTTTTAAAAATACAATTTATTTTTAATCTGAAAATTAAGCTTTTTGCCATTTAATAACAACTAATAATACGAAATGGTTTTTGAATAAAATTTCCTAACAGATGGTGCCACACACAATTTTAAAGTTTTTTGCCGGAAATGTTACGCAACTTGTTGCTGGATTTTTTTGATGAGAGATAACTTTGTTTCTTATTTTGTTATAATCAATCTCTCGATCATCGTGAATCTCCAAAGGACTTGATCGAACATAGAGATCTCGAGTCGAGTTCTACTACTGCTTAAGCCTGACGGGACTTAAAAATCCCGAATACATTTTATCCTCATACAGCTTAAATATCATTGATTTTACAAATACAATACACTAAACTCCAACTACACATATATGAAATATAAATTTATAGATAAAAAGTAGATACATTCAAACTATTATTATGTAGAATTAATATCTCAGAATAGATTGAAGATTAAGAAACGAANGATGTCTTTTTAGATGCGTTTTCTGATTAAAACCCTTATTACAAATATCGCATTTGAAAGGACGTTCTTCAGTGTATGTTTTTTTATGTCTTTTTAGTTTCTTTTTCCTTTTAGAATTTTTATTACAAATATCGGATTTGATAGGTCGATCTTCACTATGCCGTGCTTTATGACGTAAAAAATACCGTTTCCACTTAAATTCTTTTCCACATATTTTGCAGGCATGAACTTTGTATATTCTCTCGTGTTTCTCGAGACGGCTTTTACCGTATCGAACGCGTTTACCACAAATGTCATTTTTCATCTGGAGATTAAAATTTTTACCATTTCTTCGCGACGTCTTCACTCGATTTCCAGATGGCTGCAAACGTAAATTCATGTGAGAGATTTCGTTTTTATTTCCAGTTTGGTGTTCTTTCATGTGTCTTCGCAAAAGAAATTGCCACAAAAACCTCTCATTGCAGGTTGTGCAGCAAAATGGTTTTTTTTTAATATGACAGAACAGATGTGTTTCCAATATTCTCTTATTTGTAAATGTCTGTTTACATAATTCACACGTAAATTGTTGTTTAGAATGAGATGAAAACGTAAACTTGAAGTATTTCCTTTTAATCTTACCATGAATTTTATTCCATTTTCTACTGCAAGTAACGTAGCTTTTTGTCTTGAAATTACATTTAAATTGTTTTATTATTTCTGAATTCCGCTGAATATCGTATTTCTTAATTTCCTCTTCCTCCTCAACTGAAAGTTTAAAAAATAACATTATGAATTACCTATTATATTTCAATAAACACAACATAGTTTCAATGTTAAAATATTGGTGTTGAAATTATATAATTGGTAAAGTAAACCTATGTTTTTCATTTAAAAGAAGGCATCATTTGTTGTTTGCACTAAAAGTAAAATATTTTACATTTTACAATCATGAACTGATTGAATCAGCTTTAGTTCTTTAGGGAACTTTTAAATAAGTGTAAAAAATTAAACAGTTTTACTTTAACTGTTTGTCGTTTGTTCCAGTGGTTATCATGGAAACGTGGAAGAAATCGTGTGCTCTTAAAACAGAGAAGAAATCATTAGTGTAAAAAAAAGTACCACAGCAAAAGTCTAAGAATTTTAAATAGAAAGGTAAGATCGATGTATTCTTCAGATTTTTTGAATAATTTGAGCATATGTCCGATAGATCAGTACAACGTTTAACAAGAATATTAGCAACGTGTTAGAAAACACTTTTCTGATATTCACTTATTTATGTTGTTTAATTAGTTATATGGCCCTCGTTCACTTCGAGTCAATACATTTTCTTTATTATTTTAGCGAACCCATGAACAAAGCAGATAACATGAATCATTAAATCACAATTCATGAGTTGTTATTTAGTAATTGTGATCACCCGAAAGCATTTTTATTAACTACAAAAGTTATATTAATACGTTGTAGGAGGTTATGTATAATTCTGAAATATCCCAGTTAAATGTTTGACAGTTGAATCTTGAATGCAATTCTTCAGCGGCCCTTTGAGTAATACTAATATAAAAAGTTTGAATTAAGTAAACATGTTACTTACTTTTAATGTTCATTTCATTCTTGATAAAATTTTCGTTTGAAGTGAAGTATTCATTGTTGACAGGCTAAACAATATGCAAATAATACATGACAACCACTAATAATTACTTACAATACATAAATCAGTAACGAGTTGCTCAACTTTCCCGGCAACGTTTTCAAATTTTAGTGGCGTGTCTTTAATAAAACGTTTTAAAAATGAAATATTATATTTTTAACTATTATAGAAAACAAAGAACCGAATTTGAATGAATGAGTCCGACCCTAATAGAGATAATGAGGGTCGTGTTTATGTCCTTAATTTCTTGATTTTTAACCAGCAAAACTCAACAGCGTCAATTTCACTAATAATCAAACTTTCCAGCAAAATTTCAGAAATTTTCAACAAAAAAAACAGGAGTTAATAAGTGTCAAACAGGCTGAATAAAAGTCGTGCACACACTAACATCAATACAAACAGATAAAACCCAAGATTTTTTGACATTTGAAGGAATTCTAAATTTAGAAATGTAAAAAGCTTGGGGAGTCATTTTTTGACCCCCAAGATTTTTACATTTCTAAATTTGACCAATCGTCACTACTTTCGTTTTGTTATATATATAACAACCGAAAAAGTAATACGAAAATCTTATAAATTACAAATCCATTCTTTTGTGATTGCATATAAGCAACATATTAGAAAATTGTATTAAAATTAATTGGTTTGAAAATTTTGTAGAAATTATTTAGTCTTTTAAAGAAATTAACAAAATAACAAGCGAGACTCTTCACTTTCCATCTTGTCCATTAAGAACACATATTACTAATGAAGTAGGCTCACTGTACTAGAAATCTATGTTATTTGTAAAGTAATTTAATTTAATAATTAATTTTGACTTTAATTAGCGTCGTGTCTTCTACCGTACGATTTAACAGTAGAAAAATTCCAATGCGTTTTGCCTGTTTTCACGCCATTATTTTCTTGAGGGAAATATATAAAAATTGTATACGCACTTTACATTACTTGCAAAAATATTTAATAATTAAATCATTTCTGCATTAAAATCGTCTGTTTCTTTACAACGTTATTTATAAATGCTTAAACAATCATTATTTTTATAACATACGTCGTAAATTCAACCCAAAACAGAGAAAAAGCAAACGTTTAAGCCGAACTTCTACTCGTCACGTTTGACGTTCCAAACGACATTTTCAAACTTGTAAAATTACAAGATGGCGACGCTCGACGTTCACGTTTTAACGATGAAAACTTCGATCGCAACCTCTCTATTATTTATTTGTAATCAACTTCTACTTAAACTAGATAAAATTAGAAATTGCAGTGCTTATTAATTTGTTGTAATCTCTGTTTATATAACTGCAGTATTTCATAGTATTGGAAAAATAAATAAATCTGGTATTTTGTGCTATCATCGTTGCACTTGGCCTCAAAGTAAATTTTGCCTAGGGTTTTGTAAATCTTAGGTCCGCCTGTATGTCGGGCAACCTTTCTCAACATGTGACCGCATCGATTGTGGACCTGACCAAAAAGTCTGAAATAAAAACTCATTGTTTATTCTCTAATTTATCGTGCACTAAAAAGCAGAAGTACTCAAACTACTAATTAAGAAAGTTTGAAACAGTATAATTTATATACACCGAAAAAATATGGAAAAAATTAAGTGAATACAGTAGAGCGTCGATTATCCGAATGAATTGGAGACGGGTTGTTCGGGGAAAAAAAACCCGATATTTCGGATAACTGATTATGTACGAAAAACATATTAGTTTATCCCACGATGAAATTTGTTTCCGTTGCGTGTCGCTTCGCGTTGAATTTTCGTCGATGTTAAACCTAACGAAGACTATTGTATCGTTAAAAATTATTTATTTATTTTGTACAAACAAAATAAATATATTGAAAAAATATAAAAACAATACAAAATTATACTTCAGAAGTTAATTTAGTATCAAAAACGTAAAATATTTGAGTAACCCAAGACATAGCCAAAGATTGCAACGCCACAGCACTGGCGAAAATTTAAATTTGCCAACTGGAATTCTTTCGGATAATTGACTTTCGGATAATCCACGCTCTACTGTATCTGTACGTGAACATGTATTTGTCATCTACTTAGCCTAATATTTCAGAATGAATTGAACATTAAGAAACTAAATTTAATAGTGTTCATTGTCTATAAAGGATATTAATGCTATTAAATTTTGGCAATAAAACATCCAGGGGTGAAGAGATAGAAGATGGTCACGTGTAAAATCTTGAGTGGGATCAGACTTCATTAAAATTGTAGTTGTTGTTAGCATAGTTTGTGAAATGCATTTCTACCATTATAATTAGCTATTTCTTCATTTTATAATAAGTAAAATTATAAAAAGTTTTTATAACACATGGCGCCAATGACAATTTTATTTATTTATTATAATTAATAATATAGATGTTATTTTTTAAATAAAATCTCTTAACAGCCAGGAAACTTTCATAATTCGTTACTAGATTTTTTCTTATATAATACATATTTTTTTTATTTAATACAAAATACACCTAAAATCAAAGCATAACATTCATTACTGATAATGACATACATTTTCAACCATTCAGAAACCTAAGTTAATATTAAAGTTTCACTGTAAAATATTTCGAAATTTCTATTACTTACCAATACGTTTCCATCATCATCTGGGAGATGAACAACTTCTTTACGATCTTCAGTCTTTACTTCAATCTTCAATTTTTTCAAGACAACTTTACATTCTG